TGAAATTGGAAAGAACATAATTAGTTAAAAAAACTATATTAGCCGTGGATAAAACTATCCAGTCCCATTTATAACACTGCATTAATTATTAAGGTAGAGCACCTTAACAATTAATGTCGAACGCATTCACGACGATTAAACATTTACATATGCGACGCTAAGTCATTTATAAACCGGCCCTTAGCACATTGACATGGGTATCCAAATATACATGACATAGACACCACCCCTATTATTTCGATTTCTTGATAAATTCGAAACGTAACGATATGTAAAACTAAAATGAATGATTGCATACATGTCATGACGTAATACATTTTATGTATGTATTTACAAACATAGAAACAGACTATTTAGGATTAACGTTAAACAATTGATGTGATGTGGAAATCCACAAGATAGACTATTAGTTTTTATTGCCTATCTTTTGCGCAGCCACTTATTACATACCGTCACTGGCGTTGAAAATACATGCATGCATAAGTGTCACAAACCAAGGTATAAAAATAGTTGTAAACAATTAGATCATTGAACTTGGAGTTTATCAATTGATTTATAAATTTCTAGGATATTTGCAAAGTCTAATACTGACGCAATTGATTTCATTACCAGGCGTCTAAAAGTAAAGACGTCTAGAACTAAAGGTTGTTGCACGAATGCAACGTAGAAACTAATTGTCATTACACGACGTTATGTGGCGTGACTTTATAGGTTTTACTATGATTGAAAGTATTTAAAATTCCGGTTTATTATTGTTGTAGGTTTATTAAAACATAAATATTGTATCAACGAAAGGAATAGTTTAGAAAGCCAAGTATATGACGTCGACAGGCAACTCAAAATCTTTTTGTGGAAGTCCCTAGTTGTCTGTGTAATGATGACTATCTAAACTAATTATAAAGAGGTAAAATTGTTGTTTGTAGGGGGTAATAATCAAGTCAAGGAAAAATCTACCATACCATACCATATTATTATATCTAACTCTTATATTTAATGCAGAATAATGGTTCTTTTGGTAAAGGTAATCAAAAATTTCTAAAAAAATGTTTAGGTGAATTTATAACATACATTATATGCATTCGTATAAATATAAAGAGTTTCATCACCATAGAAATTTTATAAGATACTAACTGGTAGCCGCGACTTCGTTCGCGTGGAATTCGGAAAATCGCTGCCTTAGTGGGTTAGATTTCCGGACCGGTCTAAATTTTATAGGTTTTTCTGAGAGGAAAAATAGCCTAAGTTACTCCTTATACAGATAGGTACCTGGTAGTAAAATATAATAAAAATCGGTCCAGCCGTTTAGAAGATTACCCGGAACAAACAGACAAAAAAACTGGTTTTTAGGCATAAGTATCGTGCAAATAACCATGTGAGCATTAAAAAAACCTATTATTTTGTTATTACAAACAGACACTTCTATTTTATTTATTTGTATTTATAGAAGGCAGCCCGCGCGACTTTTAACTATTTCATTGCTATGTGCATATTATTACATTGTGTTCGTGTACCCTGCAAATTTTCATTTTATTTTTTGCTATTACTGCTTTATAATATAGTTTTTGAAGTTTGTATCTAGGTTGGCCCCGAAGCGGGCCGGGTTTGCTAGTAATAATATAAATTGTATTTGATTTTGCGCAAACCGACGTAGTTTTTAGTTTTACATAAAAAAAACTTTGAAGTGACGTTTAAAAGTATTATTTAAATTGTGTGTTAACATAAATTAACATTATACTTTTAGAGTGAATACCAAACAAGGCTCAAGAACTTTATATCTTCTTTAAAAGACAACTCCCGGATTGGGAATATATATTGTGTCGCGGGGGGATTTACAAACATACATGAAACGAACACAAAGAACACCCAGATTCAGAACAACAATTTGTGGAGCACACAGTGTCTAGTCGTCCCATGTTGGGATCGGATCCACAACACCCAGCGTAGTAGTGAGCGGCGTGGCAATCGCTTAAACCACTACGCCATCCGTGCAGTCGACTTTGCATTATGTTATGGTCAAGATAAACATTTCCAACTCGTAATATGGTTGCATCATTTTAAAATGAAAAACATATGATGAAAATGATATTTTCACACATCTTACACACGACCATCTGATCCCATACTAGACACAGTCTGTTCTATGGTAACCACTGTAGACATTGAAATTACTGCTACTTTTAATATTCATTTGATGAAATGATTGCCTTTATTCACGGTGTGATTGAGATTTCGTCATAGACAAAGATAAACGTCATTAAAATCAATCAAAATTCTTTTTATCAAAGATTACTACCTTTTTTTTAGATTTAGACCTACTGAGACCTTAGAGTCTTCTAGCCTAATGTAATAAAGAGAATAATAAGTCACAGTGGTATTGTAAATCAGTCATAGGTGTGATTATATGATTCTCAAATAATATGATTTATCACATGTGATTGTGATTTTATTCCATCCCTAGTAATCAGCTAGCTAATAAATATACTTATATATTTGTAAATACACACATATAAACCTACAAAGTACACCCAATAAGTACCATAAAACATTAATTTTATTACACATAAATACCGTAGTAGTAGTTCGTAAATACCTCTTAGGAAATAAATAATTAATTCGTACAATTCTTCCGCTGACATGCCCTATAAAACAGATAATAATAAAAGTTGTTTAGCCAAAAAATAATTTGTTTAAAAAGCATTTAGGACTTCAAAAGTATAAAAATAGGTTTGTGTTGAGAACTTGTACGTCATCAAACAAAACGTTAACTGAATAATTATAAATATTTAACAAGCATATGCAAATAAAACGGTTAAATAAACTTTTATTACACACATAAACTACTTTAAACTGTTTTATTAATGACCTAGTAGATCAAAATAGAAATTTAAGAACATAATAGTTATTGTAACTTTGCAATTTTGGTTAAGCCATATCTACCGTTATCGTTGTTTTAGACCGGTTGAAAAAAAAAGCAATTGAAGTAAAGAAAAGAGGAATGATGTAGAAAACGGGCATAAGGCTTGTAGTGTAAGGATCATAGAACTTTCTAGAAAATATAAAATAATAAACTGGAACTTACAAAGGTAAATCCATTTTGGACAAATCCATTATCCCTTCTTTCTCCTCGGAGTAGGCTGTAATACATAATTTGTAACCGGAAACCAAATCACGGCCAAATCACTGCAACGTGACAGCGTCTATTGAAGAAATACGAGAAAATATCGACAGTGATAGGGAAACTAAACATCCTTTATTCCTTCATTAAATCAGTATTTTATTTTCACTGCTGTTGCCTATTGCCACTAGCGCATCAAACTTTGAGGCTTCTGTTCCAAAATGTATTTATTCTAAATTTAAAAAGGGGCGATTTTCTCTTGGATTCGACTTTCAAAATCAACTACTGTTCTGAAACTTTGGGTTTTTTTCCAAAATTCTAAAAGAACGATATATTTACCCAAGGAAATTGTATGACCAAAACTACGTACGAGTATACCTATATGTATTATGTAGGTTTATGCAAGTATTCTTCATATTTAATTAAAAGTGCAGCTGACGCCTAGGCTTCTACTGATACTTAATTATGTGTAGTCGTTACTAGACGATTCGACACCGTCACCCCATTCTCTTTTATTACAGTACATATACATCGATGCTTCACCAACTCATCTTTCCTTCCTACAAATTAGTTTAGTATTTAATTTATTTAGCTTCTAAAGACACAATATGTAAATCTTTATAATGATTTCGCATTGTCAAAAATGCCTAAATACAAGTTAAGCGTATTTCGCGAGCCTCTAATTTACATCTCATTACGTAATTTAATTGGTTGCCTTGTTGGTTTTTTTTTGTATTATAGCCATTGACTACTTTGCTACAGAGAACGGAACGGCCCACTGTTTTTAATACTTTTTTGTACCACGTGTTTGATGTTTATGTGTTCCCCTAAATTATTCAGTGATATTTTTATTTACTTATAGTGATAGATTAAACTTGATAATAATTTATCCGAATTTAATGCCCTTAAAGTTTGCAGTTGTAAATACTAACGAAAGAATTTTGTATGTATTTCTATTTATTGCAAGAGTCTGTAGTTTTATACACATATATGCCGGATATCCGTATCCGTATCCGTAACTTTTTTGGCGGATCTTTCAATACATATTACATAGATGAAATTCTATATAGGTGAATTTGTAATTATTGTAAAACTCTTAGGTATGTGTTTGTAACACTATAAACAGCAACTTTTTTTCTGGCCAACGTCAAATTAAAAATCCGTATCCGCGGATATACTTTGTTAACGATCCGGCACATCATTAATATATATGCATATAAAGCTAAGTGTAAATATTTAATAACAAGCTCTTGCAATTATAACACTGACTATTGTATAAAATATGCTAAAAGAATTTAAATATAGTATTAACAGATAACCCCGATCAGAAGACGTAGCCTAACTGTTTTATTACTTGTAAATTCAATTTGCATTAAATTACATGGGTTAAATTCCTTCTTCCGTCTTCAATTTAATACATATATAAAGCATGGAATTATTGTTTCGTATGAGTATTCATAGGTATGTCGAATATATATCGGAATGACTGACTGTCTTATCTAAATACATCGGAGTCTGCACCATTACTTTCTATTATATATCTACCTATTCTGTCCATCTCATAGTTCTCTGTTAGAGATTACCTTGTGCGATAATCCAATGCAATCCTTTCAGTCCAATACTCACCATAGTCACAAATCTATATTTGTAAGTTTTAGTGTACATATATAATATCATGTGTAAATAAAGTACGTGGTAGACATCGAAGAAAAAACAATATTTAAATTTTTATTCATGACCGGTATAGTGTATTTAACATTGGAATAGATCTAGAGTCTTCGGGCTTACATCATATTATGTATGCAGGAAATTATGTAAAATGTATTCAAATGTGTGCGTAACGTCGTACATTGTGTGTTAATAGTAGATATTTGTGTTGTTTCAGACGGACGAGGTCCCTGAACGCACCCTCGCCTATACAGCAGTTTGGACCATGTGGCAGGATAATGAAAAACTCGGCGATGGTTATGTGAGTATTATACCTATTAGTTGTATATTAATTGTAAATAATAACAGGTGAACGTTAACTGGATAATTGAATAGGCTCTATAGTGCACTCATTTATGTATTAAGTTCAGTTAATTACGATTTTGTGCAAGGTAGGGGTGTATAAAATATACGCATATGTAAATAAAAAATTGTTGCTTCTAATATCCTGACCTACTTGTAAAATACTAATATTATGTAAAAGTACGAACATAAAATGAGTACTTAGTACGAACATAATAAAAATAGAAACGAATACGTTGTTAATTAATTTCCTGAAAAAAATACAAGTGCAAAACATTAATTAGGATTTATTAATATTGCGGAAGCTCGACGCAACGCCTTTAAAATATCATATTACCCTAAAACCATGTGGCGACTCCCACTATTCCATTAGATGGCGCTGTAGTATGTTTATGTGGGAGTCGCCACAACCAATTTAAAATAAAAAAATAAAACAGAAAAATAGTCCTCCTGCTTGTGTCACATTCCTCATTGCTGAGGGTGGTGAGCTCTACGAATTATCTCCCGGACGATCATTCTGCACTTGTTACGATCTTGAGCAGTGTGTATGGCTTTGTATACATTTTTTTTTAAAGGATAATATAGGGTTATTTTAAACAAATAGTTTACTCGTAAATTACGTGCACTGTTGAATCAAGAAATACAGTGTTCGTGATCGAAAATCACGAACTGTTTCAGTATCTTCACAATAACACTATAATTCCTCTCCGCTCTCAATTTGTTGAAACTATATACATTGAGTCTCCGCTATATTTATTTAACGTAATGTTTGCACTCAGAACTAGTTAGATACAACGTAAACGTAGTCAATTCGATCTAGACGTTCTCATGCTTAGTGACGACGAGAAATTCATGATTATTTATATTAATAGAAACAGCTGGTAAGCAGTTTACTTTTTAAAGTAAATTTCATGGCTCAGTTTTCCCCAAAAATGTCCCTTTGTTTCAAATAGCCCCGAAACGTCCATTTCCCAAAATGTATCTTGCACGAAATGTTTCTTTCCCAGAATGTGTGTTGTTAGGTTTATATAGTCCTTTCACGTTTAGGTGAAACAAAATCTATCACAACACGCGCTCATTAGTCAAATCAAATAGCGCGTGCTGCTCCGGCTTATTGTTATACCCCCTTTTTTTTGTTTTTCTCCGTGCGGAAATCCCCTCGGATACCACCTATCGGTGGCATGTCGGACTCGAACCGACTAAAACCGCACGGGCACTAATAGCCGGGGAACAAGGTATACCCTAGAAAGGAAGTCCCTGGTGCCCCGACATACCTCGGGCCATCTACAACAAGTAGACCCCCCCCCCCCCCCCGTGTGGGAACCCCATGTTCCCTCTGCTCCCTGGCTCGCCGCCACCCCGGCCTGCTTCTGCTAGGGTGACAGATGGCCTCACCTGTCACCCCCCGCCTTATAGAGGCCCGGGCCCGGCGGGCCGGGAGAGTTCTAAACCTCTCCCGGTCCCGCTCCGCCGTCTCTTTCGCGAGCATAACTTGCTCGCAGAAGGAGACGGCAGAGTTCCACGCACTCTCGCTCCGCACGATAGCCGCAATCAGGCTATCGAGCGAGAGAACTCCCACTCCGGTGGTCGCCACGAGGTCTCGCCTCTGCTCAACCCACGCCGGGTACTCTGCCAGCGCGTGGAGAGCCGTGTCCACGGTCTGGCCATCGCAGTGGTGGCACTCAGGCGTTGGCTCCTTGCGGATCGGACACAGGTGATCCCCGAAACATCCTTTCCCAGTGATCACCTGCGTCAGTCGGTACGAGAGGGTCCCGTGACGCCTCTCGAGCCAATCCTCCATAACGGGTCTTACCGCCGCGATGACGGCGTGCCCGATTGTTATACCCCCTCAGTTTTCTGGAAAGCAAGAGGAATTGTTTGGAAGAAATGTTTGACGTCAAGAAAATTGTAAAATCTTATTTGGTAGTTGGGTGAAGGCGACTTAATCTACAATCCAATGTACTAAAAAATAAATAAATTATAATAAATTAATAAAACTTAAAAAAAATTCATTAAAGCTATAAAATAATTACTTGAATCTGTGAGAATTAATGTCTGACTAGTTCTATATTATATACATAACAGCTTGTGCTCGCGGCTCCGTCCGCTTGTATATCGTAATACTTTGAATCCCCTTTTTTTTTTTTTTCCGTGCGGAAATCCCCTCGGATACCACCTGTCGGTGGCATGTCGAACACGAACCGACTAAAACCGCACGCCGTCGCCGGGTAGTAATAGCCGGGGAACCAGGTATACCCTAGAAAGGAAGTCCCTGGTGCAACTTTAAATCCCCTAAATGTGGCTTAGGCGGAAAAGCGTAACGAGCAAATGAACTCACTTTTACATTTATAATGTAAGTAGGTATAGAAGTATGGATACACAATTTATGGATTTCCCACAACTAATACGACACGATATTTACACATATTTTTTTGTATAGAAAATGTTAAACATTTTCTCCTTCGAATAAGCAGCAATCACTGACACTTAATCGATATTATTAAGTTTTATGTATGGCTCGAACATGCTGGCAACGATCGATTTAGAATTACAATGTTTGTGACCCTAACCTACTCAAGCTATTCTAATATTACATACACTCGGTTCCAAAAATTACGGGTCAGTCACAAAAATTGAAATACCTCCAGAACTGTAAAAGTTAGATCAATGAAATAAAAAACAGAATAAAGACTTTTTAGTTGCGCTTCTAATAGCATATTATTTAAACTGGTTGATGAAAAAAAACTTCATTAGAAAAACAAAATTTAAAAAAATGACTATTTTAAAAAACTAAATTTTTGTTTAATTTCTTTATAGATGCTTTCCATTTCTATTCTGTCAAAAAAAAAAATTATCGTGAACGTCTTCCACTTGCCTAATTATTATTCTGTGAGGTGAAGCATGGCAGTCACGCTAGAGGAATGTACCAGAATCCTAACTTTTTTGGAACTTGGGCGGAGCCAGCGTGAAACAGCCAGAAACATTGGTGTATCTTTGTCGACTGTTCAGCGGGTAGTCCAGCGGTACCAAGAGACCGGATCACACCTTAGAAGACCAGGAAATGGCAGACCAAGATGCACAACGGCCAGGGAAGACACAACTGGTGGCTACAATGCTCCGAAATCGTTTTCAAACTGCTGTTGGTCTAAAAACTCACTTTATTCGCTTTGGAGGTGGCAATTTAAGCGCTCAAACAGTAAGAAGACGTCTTGCTGAAGCAAATTTGAAACCATTGAGGCCCGCAAATGGCCCCAAACTGGCACGGGGACATCGAATTGCAAGACAGAGATACGTGCGCGAGCACCTAAACTGGACACTAGACGATTGGTCTAGGGTAATGTTCACGGACGAGTCTAAATTCATGCTTTATAAGCATGATGGTAGGCAGTTGGTGTACAGAAGACCATCGGCGCTTCCATCAAGCGTGTGTGGAGGAAAAAGTGGCGTACGGTGGAGGCTCCGTACAAGTTTGGGCTGGGATTTCTACTGAGGCCCGCACCGAGCTGGTACTCATTCAAAATGGAACTCTAAATGCAGAGAGGTACGTGGAAGAGATCCTCAATGAACATGTAGGTCCTTTCATGGCCAGGATGGACCGGCATGGCATATTAATGCATGATAATACGCGTCCCCATACCGCCAGAATTGTACATGACTACCTTGAAGAGGTCGGTATCGAACTCATGCAGTGGCCAGCGCGAAGCCCGAACTTAAACCCCATCGAGCACGCCTGGGACGAGCTTCAGAGATGCGTGAAAGGTCGAAACCCCCCACCAATCACGCTTCCCGAGCTCAAACAAGCACTGGTGGAGGAATGGGAAGGTATTCCTCAGCACCGGCTCCGAAATTTGGTGTACAGCATGCCTAATCGCCTGGAAGCTGTCAGAAGAGCTCGTGGAGGCAATACAAAGTATTAAATGAAGAAAGTGATGAAAAACAGCAAAAAAACAATCATAAAAAAATGTAATCTTAAGAAAAATATGACTACTTTAGTTTTTTTTTTAATTTAGAGATAAGTTAAGAGAGTTAGAGAGTTTAGATTTAAGTTTTATTTTATTTTTTATCTGTATAATTAAATTCTCAATTGAACAGTCTTCGTTTCATTAGGAAAGCATACGTAGTTTGGCAGATATTCGGGTTTATGTGACTGACCCGTTATTTTTGGAACCGAGTTTATTTACATAATATGTAACTATTAACATTCCCCAATTCATCTGCATTGTTTTCTTACCGACACTTAACTTTCAATATAATTCTTCCTCCTAGCCTTTCTCCCAAATTAGGTTGGGTTGGCTGTAGTCTACTACGATACGGCTGTTCTCTGATTTACTACGCGAAGCGTCTGCCACCAGACCTCCACAACACAGTACTAGTCCTGTAGAAAGACTGTCGTTGGACTTTTTAGGGCTTCAACTACCACAGATGTTCGTATGGCAACCGGGACCTAAATGATCAAATGATATTTACTTCTGCAAGTAAATCTTGTGATATATTGGTACAAGTCGGACTCTACAGCTAGAATGCGCCGGCATTTACTAAGACTCACTCTGAGAAGAAACGCTTAAAGTGCTCTCCAAGGCCCGAAGGGGTCCTAATGTATTAATAATGGTCACCCATCTATAGACTGACCTGGCTAGGATTGCTTAACTTTGCAATGTGTCGTCGGTGTTATCGGTTACCACTTAGCCACGGGCCTAATTGCATTATATTTTTTAAAGTTAAGCCTCAAAGTGGTCGCTTAAAGACACTTGAGACGAGGGACTAAATTGTATTTGGAAAAATGTGGATATGGTTAGACCAGCGTGTGGTTGGTACCTTGATAGGACGCCCTTCATCATCAACAGCCTTTGATAGTCCACTGCTGGACATAGGCCTCCCCTTAGAAAGGAGGGCGCCCTTACGTTGACACTTATTATACAAATATTACTGTATGTTTTAAGAATTTTTCGGCACTACTGGTAGTATTGTGGCTCCTTTTAGATGATATACCTTTAAACTATTCGTACAATATATGAATACAATATGATACTAGCCAGTGCTAACAAAATCATTACTTTACTTAAATCGAATCTAATTATTAGTGTTTTTTTTTAAATAGATCAAGTTGTGTACGATTATTTCATAGCTTCATTTCTAATCATTTCAATTCATTTCTAATAATGATGTTATTATAGAAATAAAAATACTTTATTCGTTCAGTACATTTTTATCCATGTATTGAAACCCGATAATATTAAAAATAACTGTATTACCCTGCTTAAAACTTACTTTTTATTTCTTTTATAATTTCAGGCAAATCCAAGATCCCGCGTCGCAGCGGCTAACATGGTACAAACCCCCGCTCACCGTGCTAGTCATCAAGAAGGTACACGATGCCACTATCCTGGTACCATTCGTGCAACTCGTGCATTGGCTGGTTCACGTAAGTAATACCATATCTACTTAAATCTTGAATCGCCATCCAAGTAGATAATTTAAGTTTATTGCTCCTACGCCTGGCAATAGATCATATCACTTATCGCCATATTTCCACTTCATCCCTATATATCTGCTTTGTTAGGTTATAATTAAATAAATACTCATACCAATGATCGATTACACAAAGCTATGGTATGGTAATAAATATTTACGTTATATTACGTAGATATAAGATTTTGTTCTAGATTTTTTTATTCGTTTTCTATATAATTTTTCATTTACGTTCTAACACATTTTTTTTATCCTACATTCTGATTATTGTAATTTAAGTTTAATATGTTTTCGGACTCTTACATGTAAAAAAGTTAACCTTTTAAAACCTTAATTAAAATAAATTTGTTAATAAATTGGTATATACTGTGCAACTTATTGTACGTTCTCGTAACTAGAAACTGTGCAAGACAATGTTTTTTATTATGTTGTAAATATGCTGTATATTAGCGTAATTATACTAAATATATATGTTTAGAAACAAATATAAAATACACCTGTCTGCTTGTTATCTTTAAAGGATATATGTAGTGTGGACAGCGAAATAACGTAAAACGAAAGGTGGTTCAACTCCGCCCTAATTATAGCATACGCAAAAGTTGTTCAACCTTAACAGTTTGTTGAAATGCGCAATCGATCATGTGCAGTTTATTTAGTTAATAACACACGTAGTAATATCTGATTGCGAAGCGAAAGTTGGTCTTGAATACTAGGGCACCGAATGAAGAACTTATAAACATTTCTTGTTTTTAGTTTCATACAATTGAGGTAACCCGGAAATAGGACTAATACATTTTACTGAGACCCATGAGTGTCGAACGAAAGCTGAGGGTCCACAAATGCTATTCTTTATGAACAGGATTTACTGTCGACCTTTAGTAGATGCAATATTTAAGGTGATTGTCATATATGGTTAGAAGAGTTTCTACTCTACTTGAGAAGGTCCGTTTTTCAAATGGACTTTCTTATTATAATAACTAGTCATGGTGGTAAAAGCGTCACAACTTGACCTAGAATAAAATGTGGTGCCCTTAGTTCATCGATCGTATTCATACAAAGTTAATGAGAACGCGCTATCTAGGCGTGGCCCTACGACGAGTCGACTCAGGCTGTTTTCCCATTAGAAAGTTTGTGCTTGTCTGTTTGTACTTTTTGATAAAAACAGAGCCTTAATCTACATTACCCAAAATCACTACCAATAATCCCACTACGTGGGAGTATTGCAAGGACTACTCCTTGAAGTACTCCCACATTAATGCAGTCAGCTGGTCGGATAATATTTAATACTAGACAGTCATTGTCAACCTTTTGAATCCTAATAAGCTCTTCAGTAGCGTTTCAGCAATATTACGGTTGATTGTTGAACTACCCTCAACAATAATAACTCATTACCGAACTCTAATTCAAATATGAGATTTTATAATAGACCTCATCAGTATCCAGCTGAGCTATCCATTCACCTCCTTATTATGTTTCACTTAAGGTACCGTTTATCCAAAAAAGTACTGAAAAAATACGAAAATGTATTATATGTATTTCACAACTTATGCAAAGTGGACGATAATGAATAAAGGGCCTATTTTCTATATTGATTTCAGGACAAGAGCATGGTGGTGTTCGTCGAAGCTGCGGTGCTAGATGATACATTGCTCGCAGAGTATGGCGATTTTACGTCAGTCAAAGATCGTCTGATGACTTTCAGAGCGGGTCAAGACGACCTGACTGACAAGATCGATTTCATTATATGTCTAGGAGGAGACGGCACATTGTTACATGCTAGCTCATTATTCCAGGTGAGATATTATATTCATATAAATATATGATTTGTTTATAAAACCCTGGGCCTAAAGTTTGACATATTATGTGTATCTGTGACTCATTAGATACGATATATTATTTATTTATTATATCAAGTAGTTATGCTAAATTAAATTTAATCGTTATGGTTTTAGCTGTATTTGGCAATTTGTTACCATCTTTATGAGACTTTCTGTTGAGCGTGTCTCTTTTTCTGTAATTTTCTTCAGTCCTGTGCTTCAGCCCTTCATTCCTATGTACTTTTAAGTCTTAAATGAGAATTGGACAAACATACATTAAATTTGTTAATAAGTGAGCTAATGATTTGTCGATATCCAACTAAAACATCGATATTGCTATCTTCATTTGAAAGTCAACTACTCTATTATGCATTAGATATTAGTTTCTGATAGCAAAGATTTAACATTAAACTAATATTTTGAAAATGTAGAAAAATAAACAAACTATTTCAAATTTTTCAAATGTCATTTTTTTCAGCAATCGGTACCTCCAGTAATGGCATTTCACTTAGGCTCTTTGGGCTTCCTAACGCCGTTCGAGTTCAACAACTTCCAGGACCAAGTCATGAATGTGTTAGAAGGTAAGCTATAAAAGGGTTTTTATGGTATAGGCGGCCAAAAAAATCGGCGGGTCACCTGATAATAAGTGACTATCACCGCTCATGGACATCCGCAACTCAGGAGTTACAAGTGCCTTCCCCCCACAATCAGGGGGAGGTGTAACGTCACTCGCACGGTGATAAGCAACGAACGAAAAACTGCTTAACACCAGTTTTCTGTGAGCCTGTAGTATCATTTCGGTCGAGCTTGGTCTAAATGTGCCGAAGCATGACTCTCCGACGATTAAGTGGTAATGTAGAGTAACTAACTGGAAAAAAATGTGTAATCATATATCATTAAGCCCCGTCCGCACAGCGATATTTTAACCCGCGTTTTATTCGCAAAATTCTGTGACACATGGGATCTATATAGGACTATCCTTACTGGCGGAAAAAATAAAATCGCGCGAAAAGAATATCTGTGATTTATTTTCACAGAATTTTGCTGTCGCTATCCGCACAGCGATGTTTCACCGCGCAGTTTTAGTTCGCCCAGAAATAAATCGCCATCGTATCGCGTTCAATTTACATCAAATTACAGTTTTTTTTTCGCCAGTATTCGCACTGATCCAATAGAGAGTCCTATTTAGATCCCGTGTGTTACGCGCAGTTTTAGTTCGCGTAGAAATAAATCGCCATCGTATCGCGTTCAATTTACATCAAATTACAGTTTTTTTTTCGCCAGTATCCGCACTGATCCTATAGAGAGTCCTATTTAGATCCCGTGTGTTAAAGAATTTTGCGAAACAAAAACGCGCGGTGAAATATCGCTGTGCGGACCCTGTCGCTATCCGCACAGCGATGTTTCACCGCGCAGTTCTTGATCGCGCAGAAATAAATCGCCATCGTATCGCGTTCAATTTACATCAAATTACAGTTTATTTTTTCGCCAGTATCCGCACTGATCCTACAGAGAGTTCTATTTAGATTCCGTGTGTTAAAGAATTTTGCGAAACAAAAACGTGCGGTGAAAAATCGCTCTTAGATTAAAAAAATATACTTTACTACTGAAGTAGCAAAGCCAGTAGCAAGTTTGAGTTCCCACGTTGTTCTGGTAGTGTTTCTAACGAGATCGTCTTGAGAGAGTCTCTCCGTAATTATCACAATCCAGTTGTTTTAGAAAACAGAATTAAAATTGCAATGTATTCGAATATCTTTTTGCAGGACACGCAGCCTTGACGTTACGATCCCGTCTCCAGTGCGTAGTATTACGAAAGAGTCGCGACGACAAAGACGGCAAGGATAAGAAGAAACCCACTACCATATTGGTGCTAAACGAGGTGGTGGTAGATCGAGGACCCTCACCTTACCTGTCTAACATCGATCTGTTCCTGGATGGGAAGCATATTACTTCGGTGCAGGGCGACGGTAAGACTGTTTTATTATTACATATTAATTAGATATGTGCCGATCATAACTGGCCTTAGTCTAGACTAGTCTTAGTCGGTCGTAAGAGCCCCCGATCACGGTTTGTGAGGCATTTGCCGTGATAATTCGTTTTTAGCCAATTTGCAGATAAGTCGATACCGCCGCCTCCGAGCGTGTCGGAACATGTTTTGTTTACTTCGCATGACATAATAATATAATATCTTGATTTTTACTTTTGCATAGGCCAGAGCGTTGTTTTAAATGTAAGAAATTAAAACTCATAAGTCATTAAAGTGAAAGAGCCAATTAAAATTTAATCATATCAAAAAGAAAGTCTCGTGTAAGGATTTTTTTAACATTTGAGAAATTCATCTAAAATAAAAAGAGAAACGCTTTACCTGCCTAATTGAAATATTTCTAACATCAATGTAGCTATGTTGAAGGTTTATCTGATACCCGACATCCATACTAATATAATAAAATGCGAAAGTTTGTCTTTCTGTCTGTTACCTCTCCACACTTAAACCGCTGAACCAATTTAAATGAAATTTGGTACAGAGACAGAGATAAAGTAAACTTGAAACAAACCCTATACTAACCCGTCTGGCCGGTGTGGTATAGTAAGCCAAAACCTCCTTTCAAAGAAGAGGCCTATGTCCAGCAGTGGGATTTGGAAGAGTCCAAACCCCTCACTAGAGGGTGACAACTTAAAATCCTTTCACTTGTGTATGTGATTAACATCTGAATCAAAGACTTTTTTAAATCTTCAGGATTGATAGTATCAACGCCGACCGGTAGCACAGCATACGCAGTAGCAGCTGGTGCCAGCATGATCCATCCGTCCGTGCCAGCCATCATGGTCACTCCTATATGTCCCCATTCACTGTCGTTCAGACCTATTGTAGTTCCAGCTGGAGTGGAACTAAAGGTAAATATGATAATTTTTTTAAACTGATAAATTTTTTTTCCATTAGTTTGGCAAGAAGTTAAATAAAAACTGAAATCATTAATTGCACATTTTTTAGAACGTTTTTATTCAACGATAAACCCAGTGTCTTCTAAACTGAGGGTTTTTGTAGCCTGTTTTATTGTCTTAAGTAGTAGTACGTAAGAATAGGAAAACAAGCTGTAAATATAAGTTACAAATAAAGCGGTCGGCTCATTGAAAATTGCTTTTGAAGAGTACCTACAAAACATCATTGAAATGGAAAGAAAATTGCATTTTTCAATAAATTTTAAAGCTGGTTTATATAACTTATATGCATTCAGACACATCCACAATTTTTCCCTCTAATAGATTAAAATCACTTATATAACAATAATAATAAAATGAAAATAATTTATTTCCAATTTATTTTTCCAATTTATTTCAAATTACTAACAATATTGCCCGTGGCCCCACACGCTTACATTTTTCCACATACACTTAGTATTAACGTGTTTTAAAACAGATTTAAAAAAAAAAAACAGTGTTATGGAAATGTTATAAAATCTGATGGTATGGAGGAAAAAAGTTTATTGATCTAAAAGACCTACTTTTGGTACATCATAATAATGTAACAGCCATGCCATAGTAGCAGCTAAAAGTTAATAAATTATCAAGACCTTTACTCCTCACACTTTGGTAGACACTGGGTTTTTATCATCTAGTTCATGCATTATTAAATCAAGTTTTTTAAAGTCGAATTGATCGCAATCATTCGAACTACAAGCGCAGGAATATTAACTACAAAAAAAAAAACATTTTGGACATGTCTCCGTTTATGCTCATATTTAGAAAAAAAAACCTCGTGAGGGGTCTGTGGACCGGTCGGAACGTGGTACTTTTTGATTTTTGATACACGTTTCCTATATATATGAAATACAAAAAAGATGTGAGCGTCGAGGTGCCAACTGCAGTATCGGAAAAAAGTCTTGTTACACAGTTCTCGGTCTTGCTCCCATGCGTGTAACGCTCACATATTTATAGTGTATTTCCTCACCGCAGTACATTGTGTAATTCCTCACGCAGAGTTTAACATAAAAATATTTCTAGATCGCACTGTCACCGGACGCGCGTAACGCCATGTGGGTATCGTTCGACGGACGGAACCGACAAGCGTTGCACCACGGAGATAGGTACTTAGTGTACTTACTGCCTCCACTCCTGGGGAACACTAGCGCTGTGCACGCTCACTCTAATAGCTTTGTACATTGCATTCATTACTGTTTAGTTAGTTTATGTTTAACCCTTATCATCTTGTGTATTATAAGAAGTTTTAGAATCTAACAAATCTTTTTATATACTATTTCAGAAAGCTCAAAACTTCGTATGTAGCAATACTAATCTAATAATTGAAACAGAAACATTATTGAGTAGTGGTTTAGGATACCAAGTTTATGCTTTAGTAAAAAGTGCTTAATAAATGGCATCCAACTTAAACATATTTGCCGTATCTACCACATTTACTTTTAATTCCTAGATAAATTTAATTACTCACATTACCTATTATTTAAAGCTAGTATTTACTAAAGACGACTTAGGCCACAATTAAATCTTACCTTCTGTAATATTCAACTGACAGCTAAGACAGGTGCCTATACTAATCTTGTCAACTAAAATGCACTAAATGCACTAAATGAGCACTAATTTAGTACCTCTTTATTGTTGAGACTTAATATAAATCTTATGTAATAATGCACTACATCATTTTATGTGAAATGTATGAAACATGATACCCTTTAAAAACAACAACAAGACGTAGGCAACTTCTTTCAAATGGGTTCCTACTCGCACTCGCCTTCTGTTATATTTTTATTCGCAGTATCGGATTGTATACTTCTCAAGAACTCAACTCTGTTAGATAACACGGCATCTCCTACAAAGAGAATAGGTGAAGCTACAAATCCCCCCGTTACTATTTAATGGTCATTAGTTACAATGAATTGAGTTTCGAGGGCTTGTTTCAGATAATGCCCACGCTAGAAGCGCGTTGCGTGGCCAGCGTTTCTTTCGACGGACGCTCGCAGTTGACTCTCAGGCCTGGCGATAGGTAACAGGATGTACTATGTCGTTTGGATCACCAGCGCCACCCTACATTGTTTAGGGAGCGTCCATTAATTACGTCAACTGCTTCGTTTTCCACTCCTTTTCTCACCATAATGATGAGAGAAATAAATATTATGTTTATAAATCAACAAAAGTCTACGTCTACGTTCCATGTGGTGACGGATAGGGAATTTCACCACCCCTATTCATTCCGTAGAAATCTTAAGAGCCGACTAAAGGAGCAAAACTACGCAGGACAACAGCACTGCAAAGAGAAGGAAAACTTGACATAAACCCTATACCAACCCGTCTGGCCAGCGTGGTATAGTAGGCCAAAACCTCTTTCCAAGGAGACGCCTATGTCCAGCAGTGTACTATTAAAGACTGTTGATGATGATGAAATCTACAAATAATACAGCACACTTAAATATTATTGTTCAAAGTTGGTTTGAGATTGTCAATAAACTTCTTTTCATCAAGTTCAATAGCCTATTAAAAAAGGCAGCTCTTCGTTTTGGTGTTGCTTTACATATACACATATAAAAGTAACATACATTAATATGTCTTGTTCATATCATATTTTATATTTGGGTGTGGATTTGTAGCACACAATGTTTAGTATATAGTGTATTCATATTGTCTTGCGCTTCTGCTTTGCATGTTTTGTACTTTGTAGAACACTAATTTAGTTTGCTTCACATACATCGTACATACGCATGAGGTGAAAAGTTTCAACCATAAAATTCAGTGTCATCAATTATGGAAATTATCCAATATAACCTATTTACATGTTTAGCTATAATGTATTAATGTTAACTTATTCCTGTAATCTGTACGTTTTTTAATCTTGCTTTTTATCATCTAATGAATATTCTAATTCTAAATGAAGTTTTGCAGAAATAAAAATCAAGATATATCTAATATATTGTCATAATTGAGGTGTTAAATAAAGGAGTTTGCAGTAATATTGATAGTTATTAAGGGCTCTTGGTCAAAATATTTAAAAATCACTTAATTATATAGGTTTAAAATAAATGGGCTTTAATTAAAAAAAATATTATTAATACCTAAAATTTTACTTGATATCAACATATATAATACAAAAACTAACTTGTTGATTAATATAAATTCCTAAAACCCTTAACCTCGTCAGTGAATATTATTACAATAAGTAAAAATCATTTTTAACATTTGTTTTCGATAGCTCCTTCAAATTTCAGGTTTTTAAAAGCTATTTGGTCGGTGTGTTGGGATTTCATTCATTACGATTTAGGTAAAACTCTGAACTTATATTTCTTTTTCTCAATTTCAGCCTATACGTCACAACCTCTGTGTACCCAGTACCATCGATATGTGCGCTGGATCAAATTTCAGACTGGTTTGATTCCCTCGCAGAATGCCTGCACTGGAACGTTCGTAAGAAGCAAAAGCAAATTGACGAATTAAGCGACCTCACTCACTCCTCAAGCGAAACTCTAGAGGAGCTGGACCAAAATCACCACGATGAGAGACCAGTAGACACATGACCACGTCCACAGATTAAATAGGTGTTCACTCAATTTTGGATATAGACTTTTTCGTAAATGGAATTCAAGAAATATTTCATGTGTTAAAATAGGTTAAGCGAAGTGAATACCGCGTGAATACGTCCGCATACCCTTGGTATGATAAAATAAATTAAGTTTTACTTTGCTAATAAGTATTGCGAAATTTAAAAAAAAGGAAAATCTGCCCTTTCAGTTGGACAGACATTGCAATGATTTTTAATCTTGGGGTCTGGCAATAATGTCAAATCTAAAAGCCAAAACCGAAGTTAAGGAGGTTGGATTTCAAACCTCAAATAATTAAAATACAGTTAAAGGTTGCGGTTGATGTAATGTTATGAATAGGCCTTGTATCTGTGGTGCTTTTTTTCCCCAAAGACAAGCATTTTAAACCACATTGGCCTGAATACCAGAAGTTTGTATTTGAATTATACGAAATTGTAATAAGAGAAAAACACTAGATGTGTTCTTATACATAGAAAGACGTGTTCTCAAGTAATATAGGTATTGGAAATGTAGAGTTAATAAAACAATTTTGTAAGGTGTGTTAGATGTATAGATAGTAAGATATATGGTCGATGATGATTCTTATGGCACTGACGCGGGTTCAAGGGTTCTCAGTGTTGGTAACTTGTAAGCCACGCGACGTAATTTACTAAAATCGTCAGTGCTTAGCTCGTTTGAGCCGTAGCGTGGTGTAAAACGCTTCTAAAGCAACAAACAAGCTTTGGTTGACATTAACATTTGGATTTCAGGATTATTTAAAAATTAAACTGGAAACTATTTTTTCCCTCATATGAATATTGCATAAATACATTTGATATTTAGATTTCTAAACATATTTGTACAATTGAAAGAAGATAGTCTATTCTTGAATGCAATAACCTGTTTTTGCGGCATGTTATGCATTTGAAAGCGACAGGACATCTTTCCTTCTCTTTTCTTTCTTTCCCTTTCTTCCACAGTTTTTTCTAACATTGCAACTTTTTTTAGGCTCCAATAAGAAAGTTAAAAATAACCGGGTGTTATTGTACAGATTGGCAGGAGGCTATGCTGACTATATTTCATTAACATTGATCTGAGCCGAGAGTATAATCATCACTAAAGGGCCCGCTTCGGTGTAAGAATCATCTCATTATGTGGTTAGGACGTTTATTTGTCTGCAATTATTGTGATACTGATTTTATCGATGTTATTTTTAACATTCCCTTGGACAATAAAAATGTAGTGTTGTTATGTCTTTCTCGGGTATGTTTGGTATATGTTATGTGATTAATTAATCATGACTTTCTATTTTCACAGGATTGATATTGACATTTCAGTTCAACTTCGAAATATTTTATTGTCATGACAATGTCTAATGATTCAATCTTTGTAACATACATTACTGTACCTACTAAAAATATGTATTGTACTGCGAAGGTGCTAACTGAAATAAATAGTGCCAATGTTTTAAAAATGATTATTTTTAACTGTACTTTAGTATTTGAGTAGCAGCAATTAGTGGTTATGGTTAAAAATAAAAGTTTAGCTATGGTAACCCGTAGCGTATGTAAGAGAGCACAAAACGTAGATTGTTATAGGTTTTTTACCTTGAATTGCGCTAAGATACTATATGTATAACTATATTTATAGTATAATGAAAACTATAAATCCTTTTATTGATTACCATCTTATTCCTGTCAAAGAAAACAATAACATTATGTGCAATACAAATGTAATAACTCTCTATTATAAAACAACAAAATGGCATTTTCTATATTAATCAAACCCACTTTTTCTCTTTGAGGTCGTGTTAATAAAGCATAAAGATAATTTTGTATATAGGTTTAATATGAATTATATGGAATGCAGATTTGATGTTTTTTTTTATTATTACAAGATCGGTATTACATGATATTAGCAAACAAGTCTTTTTAAGTTCAACTGATTCATTTCGCGCTAACCCTTTATACTAAATATTTTCTCCGTTATATTCCTATGCCAGACATGTTACCTCAACGAATTAGTAGAACTCGGCGGAATGCAAACCTGCATGGTTTAATAACCATTTCAACTAAATAAGGCTGAATTATATACATTGGATACAAATAAAAATTCCAAAGAAGAGTAAAGATAAACTCATTAAAACATTGATATCTGATAGCAGTGATAAAAATTGACAAAATTCTTTCGATAGTAGAGCTACAACGTGCTTAAGCCCCTTTTCCTAAGCATTCTTAATAGTCGAGTCACTTTAAACCCTTTTCCGTTTGACATGGCTGCCATTATATATCACATGGTTGATGTGATTTAGATAATTATATATAATTTAGTAAATTTACAAAAGCTTTTTACCACTTAAAAAGTATCTGGATCGTGGGATTAATTTACCACTCAGATGCTATAAACGGCGCTTACGATAATTGGGTTATGCTCCTGTCTGTTTCTATTGCAAAAACAAGCAAGCATACCTGTAATAGCATATGTGTGCAATTTATATATTATAACTTCGTAATGTAGACTTAATTTTTCACATTAATTTATTTTTTAATTAATTAAAGAGAAAAATAATATTAAGTGGCTGGTACGTAGTAGGCATGTACAAAAAAATTGCAGATTTTGCTGGTCATAATAGTAGTATTGATAAAATTTAACAGGCAACATGCCACGATTTTGACAGTGACAGTAATCTAACCTACAAATTGCTCTATAAAATAAAGTACAATAACAATAAAGATGTCTAAAATTAATTCTCTCATTAACTATATATCTAAAAGAAGCATTTCTATAACAGCACCAAGAGAAGGGAAACGAAATTTCAGGAAGTTTGTAATTGCCAATAAGCGAGGTTCTAGACTTCACAAACAACAACAGATGACCGAAAATCGGCAGTTACCAATGGATAAGTTAGGAGTTCGTGATACAGGATATTACGTGAAGGGACGTTTAGTCACTGTACCAGAGATGATACCAGATATAATAGTCCCAGACTTAAAAGATTTCGATCTCAAACCGTACGTATCTTACAGAACTGAAGACATTAATCAAAGCGAATTCACTCCTGAACAGCTATTTGATGCTGTTTACAGCAAGAAAATTGTCACGGACTTTAAGCAAGGAAAGCTTGACAGTGAAGGGAATCCCTTAGAACCTTCGGAAGAGGAGAAATTACAACCTGACGAAGCAGTCAAACGAGCAAAGAGAACTGGCTCAGATATATTTTAGTGTCCCGTAGAATTCATGTAATTTAGTATTAGATGATTATGTTATAATAAATGTTATATGTTATACTAGTATTTGTTTATATTTTTCTTTTTTCGTGTTTCTTTTAGTACCTAGGCCTAAATGTATGTCTACCATTATATTTCTCACAATTTATTACATTTTATACTTAGTGAACTTTAGAATATATGCTACACATTAAGAGTCTATCTTCTCAAGCAGATAAATACAGGGCTAGATTTGTAAAACAAGATTCACTATGAATACTTTGTTTCTCGTTGAGCTTGATTACTATTCCCACTCCTTTACACACCCACATACTTGCATATCCCTGAATAAACAAACTTAATTTATCTCATTTTTACCTTAATCACCTCAAGGCCATCTTAGAGAGATGCCTGTGACATTAATTTAATAAATAAAGTCTGGAATATTGATGAAATTCTAGAATATTGATGAATATAATAAGTACTTTTTTTAACAAATTAAACATAGAATCATCTTGATAAGCAGATTATGTCCATACATGAACTATTTGGGTATTGAAGCTTTTAAACTATGAGGTAGAAACTGAAATCTAAAGAGCTAAGCCAGAAAGGTAAATTTATGAGATTTGTAATCTAGTGAACATTGTAAAATTACCCAAATTAAATGGTGAATGCAGGTAGTTTCATGTTAACATATGTAACCGTGCCATTATATTTACAAGCACTTCACATTTTAGTTTCTATTCCAAGGTTTTTAGAGCTAGTGCATCCTTGATACTATTAGGGTTACTTGGGTTCTCGTAGTAACTGGAGTTTCAAAAATGGTAGCCATGTTAAAACAAAAACACACAAATCATAAAATGAGAAGAGTAGAATGAATAATCTTATTTTAATTTGCAATATTAGGATACATTCATTACATAACATCATCTACATGACACATCTGATGGGTGAAAAGGTTATAATTAGATAACTACCTAATCTATTATTACAAAATATTCAGATAGCACGGTCACTAAGTAAACTAGTTAATATAGGTAGTTAAGTAAACTTAAATATATATACCTACTTTATTTTACGGATTGGTGGCAATTTAGGTTTTCTATTAATTTTAGCACACTGCACAGAGCTAGGAACTTATATAATTGTAAACATGGATGTATAAAAAAAAATTTTTTTTAGGTCCATGGTTGCAAGCTGTATAGTAAGTAGGTATTGAAAAAAATATTTGCATGAAAGCTCTGCAGGAGGTAAGCCAACGCGACGTAGGTATTTTCGCCTCGCCTCCCAAACTCGAAGATCCAATCCGATTTGGATGTTTTCTGGGAGTTAGGTGAGAGGCAATGGAATAAATTGAGTGTGCATGGCTAACGCTCTGGTAACCTCCGCTCGCTGCGAATTGTGTAAGTTAGGCACAATTCGCAGCGAGAGAACCAGGCGCTTTCATGAAAGTGTGAAGGAATGCGCAGGTTTTCTTGACCCTCTAATCGTTTCTTTACCCCAGCCTCTGCTATTTAGAATGACAAGAAAGAAGAAAACAGTAACGTGGTTCGCTCATACCTTGATAGTACTTAACCAGAGTACCTACGAACGATGGGTATTAGGTTTAATAAAGGTGTGTATTATTAATTTCATTCACAAGTTTTACAACGTACAATTTACAACAAAAACAAAATTATTAATGATAACTGATTATCACGGCAGCACCGAATGTTGTCTTAGTGCTTTGCACAAGTGTTTTGTTTCATATAAAAATTAACAAATAAAAAACAGTCTGGTAAAGACCTCTTTGACCCGCTTATTTCCATTTTATCTAAATAGTACCGTCTGTTGTTTTTATAATTTATTGCCATTTATCATTCAAACAACTGATATCAATCCGCGCGCTTGTGAGTGTCGTGTGTGTGAGGCGCATGCGCACTACGTACCGGTTTGTCAAATCAGAGGCCGTAGAAATATAAATATAATGGGAGGCAACTATTCCGCTATGGATCCGATGGAAGTGCCTGTGCCTGAGATAGAGGTTTTATTTCAAAGAGATGGTTATTTAAAACCTTATGAACGTGAAATTCGCCGCAGGTGAGTCCTAGAAAGTTTAGCCATACTGTACACGAAAGTTTCAGTGCTATTTGTAAGTAAAACGATGTTTTAAGGTGATATTTTGATCCAATTTAAGGTTAAGTTAGATGTGTTTACGTACTGTTGTCAAAGAAGCGATAGAGCGCTTTAACGAAGCGCCTTGACTTTATATGGAGACTTGTGGTTTTTGTACATAAAAGATGCAAATGAATTATATTAAATGACTTAAATAAACAGTGAATTGCTCCTTAATATTAATTTCAAACATATATGTAATACTCAATATAATACTGACTGTGTTCTTAATAAAAATCTACTCACAGCGCTGCGTACTGCTTGATTTACACTGTGACATTCTCAATGTCAAACTTAAGGTCAATTAAATATAAGAGTTTTTAGAAACAAACTTTATAACCGGGTACATAACTAGGTATTGTTTTGGTTTAGTTTGTAGTAAATGCTAGAGGTAAGCAATTTTCATATTTTCCAAATTAAAGTTCGTCCAAGCGTTTATTGAAAAAGTATCGTGTCGTCGTACATAGCTAGATATTCTAACTATTTATTACATATTTTTTTTACATAAGTAATGACGGACTACAAGACATCGCCTCATTTATGTGTAAATTACACATCATAGCTATTGTAATAAATTTAGAGACAGTAAATATGCCTAAGTCGAACACTATTTCTCTACTCAACAGCTGTTATTCGCCAATAAATAATAGACGTGTGTGAAACTGTGAACTGACCTAATGACCACCTCCAAAGAAACTAAAACTACTAACAAATAGAACCATTGAGACAAAAGCATAGAGTGAACAAAAGCCCCAATCTTGCAATATAGGCAACGAGAGACATGGATAATAGATAGTTCTCTCATCTGATTCTAGTCGAGCTCTGTAGTTGGAAAATTACTAGGGAAATTTCTAATTTCTCGTCTGTTCTACGATCAAAACCATGCTTACTTCACGACAGCCAATCGCAGCTTAGCTAAACAGAGACAAAGGGAATTATCGGGCATCCATCTCTCTCGTTGCCGGTATCGCTTCCACTTACAGGCAGCTGTACCTCTTGTTCTCCCTATGCTTATATATCTATGAAAAAAACAGAAGACTATAAAGGAATTTAATTCGCTTAGTTGCGAATCCCTATAGGGGTGGTGCAGACTGCAACCAGCTCTTATAGCTTACGATATCTTTAGATATATTTAGGTTTACATGCGATAGTGCTTCTTTTTGTTAGCAATTGAAATTTATATGTCTCAATAAAATTTTGATACAGTTTAATTTTCTTGAAAAAATAACGGTGTCTCACAAAAGATTCAGTGTAACAAGTAGGATAAAACGATCATAAATAACGTATTTTAAAATAAATATTAATAAATTATATAGAACTGATAGAACTAATCGTACCTAGTCGTAAAAATATATTTAACGTTAAATTATAGTTTACGTGTAATGGTAGTTTACGTGATAATATATTGATAAATAATTCAGACATAGGAAATTTGTTTTTATACTAATTTCGTCACAGATTATAAAATTTACGATGTACCGAAATTGTTTATTAACCCATCAGACCTGTGTTTGATGGGTTTGTTCGTCTGGAGTAAATAACTGCAAAGGTTGGAACACTACATAATACAAAAAATAACACACTAGTCAGCAGTTAGCACTAATTTCGTATTTTATAAACAGTTAGACGGTTAATATTCTAATCTCGATTGTGTTTGCTCTGATAAGCTTGCTTATCCAGCGCACTTCTTTATATTTAAGTACGTACAGTTATATATAAGACGGAGAATTTATTGTCCGTTTGAAACTTTGACAGCGTCTTTTAACTGATGATTGAGGAGCTAGAATCCCTAGCGGTACGTAATTACGGGACAATATTTCTAACAGCTCTAATCAACCACGACTCATTTGAAGAACATACCATAAGCAATATCGTTAGGTTGAGTGTTGTGTGTTGTCAAAAATGATTGAGATGTTTTGTCCAAAACAATCATAACCTTCCACCACTACAAACAAACTACTGCAACGACAATTTGATTCCCACGATCACTTATTAATTTATCAGTGACTGGCCTGGAAATAAGTTTTACTTTCGGCTGATTTTTTGTATCAAACTCATAACTCCCTTAGTTATGAACCGATTTAGAAAATTATATTTTATTTGAATCTGCATACTTAAATAAGTACTAAGTTTATTTCTGTCACTTTCTTAATCAAGTGGTATTACATATCCCTTTAAAAAATGCCATTGGGTTAACTCGATTAAAACTCGTCCGTTTCAGGTATGGCTGCTTCAGAGACTTGTGGGACAAAATCGAGTCTTGGGAGGGGGGGCTGGATGGATTCACAAAGGGATACAAATATTTTGGACCACAATACAACTCTGATGGGTCGGTGACGTGGAGAGAATGGGCGCCTGGAGCTCACTCCTTACACTTACAGGGGGAATTTAGTAAGTTTTTTCTTATATTCAATTAGTACAAGCCCGTAGTAGTAGTATTATCTGTGGCTAATTTATTAATTCGAGTAAAGGCATTTGAATTTCTGAGGTCTTAAGCACCTCTACCATTAGGTACATGATAAAGGGAAATCATCAAAAAGATCGCTCTAAGCTGACTTATGATACGATTATCATAAGTCAGCTTAGAGCGATCTTTTTGATTACACACTATCTAAATACATAGGTACACAAACGGTTTTAAAACGACGATGTCTGATATTTGTCAACGTTAAATAAAAATACGTGTATTGGTAAAAACATGGGTTGTTTTTTTTTATATTCCAACAAACCCCTGTCCGTGTGTGGCAGATTAAGAATACGGAGTGTCACCGCCCCTATTCATCGCGATGGTGTCGTAAAAGCCGACTAAGGGAGTAAACTATGCAGGACAACAGCACTGCAAAGAGAAGGAAAACTTGAAACAAACCCTATACCAAATTATCAACCCGTCTGGCCAGCGTGTTTTTTGTTAGTAGGCCAAAGCCTCCTTTCTAAGGAAACGCCTATGTCCAGCAGTGGACTACTGACGGTCGTTGATGATGATGATTACAACACAAGGTTTACTTACAATGAATGTTATAAATAAATACTCTGTAACTTATTTGAATTAATTAAACCGTTAAAGTTCTCGTAATCTTATCAAAGCCACAATAAGTATAATGTATCAATTTCTGTAATATTTTATTACTTCTTTTAGACGGCTGGAACTCAAAGAGTCATCCTTTTAAGAAACTAGAGTTCGGCAAATGGGAGCTGCACATACCGGCTACCTCTGACGGCTCCTGTCCCTTAAAGCACGACAGCCGAGTACAAATCATAGTCAATGAAAACCTGTACAGGATATCACCGTGGGCCAGCTATGTCAAGCCATTCGAGGGGTTCACATACCAACACTTTATATACAAACCTGAACACGTAAGCGTCTTTTTCTTTGAGCCATGCATGCAAGCAACCATGAGCCATCACATGCAATACATTAGAACTTTTTCTAGGAGTTATTTATTAATTATATAGGACTTATGATGCAGTTATCAAGAATATTAGATTTTATTATAGGCGACTCTCCGATTCTGTGATGTCTATCGTCTTCCTATTTCTAAAGAAAATCTTTACTGCATTTTCTGGAACATTAAACATGTGTAATTTATTTTTTCATTGCAGCCGTATCAATTCAAGCATAGTAAAGTAGATAAGCCGAAGTCCCTACGGATTTATGAGTGCCATGTAGGCATCGCAACACCAGAAGGCAAAGTTGGAACTTACAACGAATTTAAGGAAAATGTCCTGCCTAGGATTAAGAATCAAGGTATGTATGTACCTTAATATCTAAGCAGTAATTTGTATGGTAAAAAAGTTAAAATACTTCTATATTTAAATTAAAGGTTGTATTTAAAAAAGTCGTGGTCGTAGAGTGTCACCACCCCTATTCATCCCGTGGGTGTCGCAAGAGCCGACTAAGGGAGCAAACCACGCAGGACAACAGCACTGCAAAGAGAAGGAAAACTTGACACAAACCCTATACCAACCCGTCTGGCCAGCGTGTTTTAGTAGGCCGAAACCTCCTTGTTTAAAACTTAATGCACATGTTGTACAAAGGCGTACTTAATGCCATGAGGCATTCGCTCTTAGTCAGCCTTCCAGCCACTCTACACATACCAATAATAGATACATTTTTTTTGTAAAATATTTTAGGTTATAATGCAATACAACTTATGGCCATAATGGAACATGCATACTACGCGTCATTCGGATACCAGGTCACAAGTTTTTTCGCTGCTAGCAGGTGAGTCACATTGCGTTGTAAAACAATTTACCTACATATGTATATAATATGCTTACTTGTATTCTGTTTGTGGTAAGTCCATTTAAATAAAAACCAGAGACAAAAACACAAGTAAATCTTATTTTTATGTATTACATACTAAATTAATGATTCTAAGAAATCACTGAATATCTCAATGTTGCAGTCAACAAGTCAAAGATTTGGTAGAGAGGCGAGGAAGGGAGGGTCCGATTACCTTTCCTCCGTGTTTTCTTTCGGATACGTTTTAATAGGTCACGACCCTTCCGACCCATCCTTTCGGACACAATTTCTTCTTTTTTATTTCTTCTTAAAAAAGACAACTGCCGCATTAAAAATAAGTATATCCTGTGTCGCGGGGGACTTTACAAACATACATGAAACGGACACAAAGAACACCCAGACTCAGAACAACAATTTGTGGATCACACAAAGCTTAATCCCATTGAGGGATCGGACCCACAGCACTTAGCGTAGTAGTAAGCGGCGTGGCGACCGCTTAAACCACTATGCCAACGTCTGGATTATGTTAAATTAGCATTAAAAGCAGCACATAGATCTACGTAACTGCGGCCTACAGATTTTAAATGTTGCTTTATTTTCTAGTTTGCTTCGAATATATTTATAGGCGTTATAAAATTAGTAATGTTAGTAATGTCGATAAAAATTAATTAACATTATATGTAATGAAAAATGAAAGAAACTCAATTTAATTACAAGAAAAAGAATGGCAAGGTCGCCTAGATCGAGCTGCGCATTAACCTCACAGCGGCGGCGTATTTTCATAACACATCTTACACGCCTAACTTAACAGCTTAGCATCAGTGGAAACGGTCACATAGTTTCGTAGCTTAGCTTTCACATCCTCGCTGCGTAGCACATTTCTGGTGGAAAAGCATCCTAAGACTTACATTCTAAAAATGATATAACAGTACATGACCATCTTATTAAAATTTCAATGTTATAAAATTCATGCTCGATTGAGTATTTGGCTATAAGACTTACCTAGTCTATGGATTAAAAATACATTGATACAAATTGGTGTACTTCTAACCCTTCAACCACCAACAGTCGTTACGGTACGCCTTGCGAGCTGAAGCAGCTGGTGGATCGAGCGCACGAGCTCGGCCTGTACGTACTCCTCGACGTGGTGCACTCGCACGCCTCTAAGAACACCCTGGACGGACTCAACGAGTTCGACGGCACCAACTCCTGCTACTTCCACGATGGAGCGAGAGGCACTCACTCATTGTGGGACAGTAGGCTGTTTAATTATTCCGAGTAAGTTGTACACTTAAAGAATAAAGAAAATTAATTAAAACTAGAAAGAATGTGTTGTAGGTTTGAGCTAAATTTTGTATCTAGGTAAATAAATATTAGGTAATTTTGTATAGGTTCTTGTTGTGTTATTAAGATTCAATGATCCAATTGTTGTTGATTCTTGAGCATATAACTTCTTAAAACATCCTGATAGGATCTATTGTGATTCAGAATAATTTAAACATGTGAAACTTTGATGCTTTTGCAGAACAGAAGTTTTAAGGTTCCTGCTATCAAACCTTAGGTGGTATCAAGAAGAATATCAGTTCGATGGATTCAGGTAAGAAATTTTATGAAAATTAAGGTTTTAAGTAATCAATTTGATTCAATTAAAACTAGCAGGAATAGGTACCAGTAAGTTCTTTAATACTTAGAGTACTTTAATACTTATTCCTGACAGTTTTCTGCAAAAAGATACAGAATAGTTTGACCGTTTTGTTAGTGCATTTTTGTGGAACAGCGCCTATTTGGAGATTATTTTTATTTTTTTTTAGTTCTTAATGATCTACGTTTACGAAGAATTATCAACTGTGCTCATATGAACCCAGAGAAAGAACGTAACTATGCGAGCCCTTCAGTTTTACTTAGTATTTGTCTAGTATAGTGTAAATTGTATAGTAATATTTCATACCCCATTAAATTAATTTAATTTAATTTTCATTACACATAGGTAGTAATTTGGTTGTATAATTAACGCACTTAACTGTCAGACTTTATAGTAAAAAAATTGATAAAAACAGCAATAGTTATCATAATAATTTCTGGGTTTAGGTTCGACGGCGTTACCTCCATGCTGTATCACAGCCGTGGTATAGGGCAGGGCTTCTCTGGACATTACGACGAGTACTTCGGCTTGAATGTCGACACTGAAGCGTTAGTTTACCTTATGCTTGCCAATGAGATCGTACACAAGATTGATAACAGAGCTATTACCATTGCTGAGGTGAGGGCCGTTAGGCGATTTTTTAATATATCTAAGCTTAATCTTTCTAAATATTTCTTTTTAACATCGATCTTATTCCACGTCCAGATGGCGTAGTAGTTTGTGTAACGGGCTGCTACCTACGGTAAAGGTCGCGGGTTCGATTCCCACTCAAGTCAAACATTTGTTTGCATGCCTATTTCTATGTATAATATGTATGTATTTACAAAAAAAAAGTATCTATTTATTTGTATCAGATGTCTAGTACAAGCTCTGCTTAGTTTGAAACTAGATAGCGTCGTGTAAATGTGGTAGAATATTATTATTATTAAACCCATCCTAGTTGAAAAAGTATTCATTTCGACGCTTGAAAAGAAATCAGTAAGCAACTAAGATACGTAGAATGAGTTTTAAATTATTCATTACAATAACGAACCACAATTAAACTTATTGATAATCAACCATTAAAACCGATCTGTATCAGTAATTTTTCAAAAAAAAACTTGATCAATTTCATTTGGGCATCCTTTTCCACTTAATGCGTATTATTATAAATACAGGTAATTTAGGAAGTTCATTGAGAACTTTAATTGGATCAGTATGTGAGTTGAGTCATTTCTGTACCAGAAGGAATACAATCAATTGGAAGATACAATAATGATAGAATCATGTAGCCTGAACATTTTTTTATACAGGATGTATCAGGAATGCCCGCATCTTGCCGCCCGTTAAAAGAAGGTGGCACCGGCTTTGATTACCGACTAGGTATGGCGATCCCCGATATGTGGATCAAGCTGCTGAAAGAGGAGCGTGACGAGGACTGGAAGATGGGGCACATTGTTCACACCCTCACGAACAGGAGGTGGATGGAAGGCACTGTAGCGTACGCTGAGAGTCACGATCAGGTAAATAATATGAAACCTTTTTTGATGATTAACGGCTAGGGCGCCAGATTTGACATTAACGGATTGCATATTTGGACTCCACTAAGTGCACGTCAGGAATTTAACTTGATTCACTGATTATGTATCTACTTTTACGAGTAATTACAAAGTATTTACTTAACATAATAAAAAATGTGAGCAAAATGATTATTTCGATTTAAAACCGATAATCGTGAATTTTTGGATACACGTTGTCAGATGTATATTTACTTCTATCAATCAATCCAGTCATTCCTCCGGAACAACCCTTTTGATAACAAAAGGATTGATTGTCAAAATCTATTTTAATGCGAGTGAAGCCGTGGACAAAAACATAGTGTTCAATAAAATCATACTCAGACTAACTCGTTAGAAGGATGTTATGGGAATTAGGTATGTTTAATCAGTCACTAGATGGCGTTTTAGTAAGATAAAGTGTCGTAAACGATGTTTAGGCGCTGGTGGGCGACAAGACGATCGCGTTCTGGCTGATGGACGCGGCCATGTACACGCACATGTCGACGCTGAGCGCGCCCAGCGCCGTGGTGGAGCGCGGCATGGCGCTGCACTGCATCATCCGCCTGCTCACGCACGCGCTCGGCGGGGAGGCCTACCTCAACTTCATGGGTATGCCGCACACAACACACACACACATATATATATATATATATATATGATCATATTCTTAACACAACACAAGTTCACAGTAATAAAAGACATCTTTACATAGTATAAAATGAAATTTCATTTTCTTGTACGCTTAGGTCTTTCGAACTACGAGATTTAACGCGGTTTTCACCAACGGAGAGAGTAATTCAAGAAGCGGGTTTAAATCTATAATACATGCATACTATAGCAAAAAAATCGAGAATTTCAAAGATTTGTAATGTGAAGTCATAAAAAAACATGTTCTTGTGCGCTTAAATTGCAAACCCTTTTTTTTTTCGTGTGGAAATCCCCTCGGACCGTCACCCCGTCGGGGCGATGTATCGGACTCGAACCGACTAAAACCACACGGTGTGCCCTCTTTGCGCTTCTATTTTGGGAGGGGTCCAGTGAGTTATCGCCTTCTGGACCCCCCAACGAGACGGAGCCCGCTCCAGGCGCGGGCTCCGTCTCAGTGGTACATTGCAAACCCTGGCTGAACCTTACGAGATAGATCAAAATAATGTACTATGGAATTATATATCTTAAAAAAATCTACAAAAAAGTCCGCGATGGTATATGTCTAACTCCTAAGGATAACCCACAGTAACATTCTTTTATCTTTTACACTCTTTAGACTAAAACGGACACTTACTAATTTCACAGACGTAAACAGCGCCATTTCGAAAGTTGTTCATTGGTTTGACGTCAACAATTCGCTTTTAAATGAATAAAAAAAAAGTGTATACGTTTCACTATGCCAAACGTCAAGCCGGTGAAAACTACTGTGATGATTAAGGATGTCGAGTTGGACCTTGTGGATACTACTACGACTTTAGAGTCTACATTAAAAACAATTTTGAACAATTTGAATTATGAAACAATTGGCTGGAACGACGAAGCAATTCCCTGGGAATATATCGAGACTATGGAATATTCTATCGAAAGTGTTAAGAGTCAAAAAAGGAATTATAAAATTTGTTTTTAGACTGCCTTTTTTACGCAGGTAACGAATTCGGTCACCCAGAATGGTTGGACTTCCCACGCGCCGGTAACAACTCGTCATACCACTACGCACGTCGACAATTCAACCTAGTCGATGATGAACTGCTTAAATACAAGTTCTTGAACTTATTCGACAAAGATATGAACGATTTAGAAAACAAATATGGATGGTTAAGTTCTAATCCGGTTAGTATTGATATTTTTATATGTTTATGAAGTCAACTAAATTCGACGTAAAAATCCCGAGTATAGTTTCCAGTAATAAGAAAACCGGAAATAACATGGTACTTCAATAGTAGAACGTATTTTGGAAAGGGAAGTAGAGATATCAATAGAGACTTTTTGAAGGGGCTTCTAAATAATATCTATATTCTCAAATCTCCATCATGGAGCTCTGGATCTATTAGCCCAGTATAAAATAACAATATGAAAAATCTAACCTCATCTTTATCCCTTGTGTATTTTTAAAGGCCTATGTATCATGTAAACACGACGGTGACAAAGTGATCGCATTCGAGCGCGCCGGTCTGTTATTCGTGTTCAATTTCCACCCTTACCAGAGCTTCACTGACTACAGGATCGGCGTGGACGTGGCTGGCAACTATAAGGTATGTTATTTTACTCTTACTATCTATACAAAATTAGAGAAGGAAAACTTGAAACAAACCTATGTCCAGCAGTGGACTATTAAAGGCTGTCGATGATTCAAAACTATTCTAATTAGCAGTTGTTAGTTTATTTTTTCTAATATCATTTAAGCATTAAGGATCTAACATAAAAAGAATAACTTAAAAGTGCATTGTTTCTAGGGTGGATTTAAAATATATAAAGTATTATGACATATTCTTACAATTTTAAAAGCAGTTACGGTGTAAGTATTTAGATTATATATTTAATATTATCATTGAGGATTAATCAATTAGATGTATCGATCTATTTTAATTCTTTTACAGGTGATAATGTGTTCAGATAGCAAGAGGTATAACGGTCACGGCCGAGTAGAGCCAGATAAAGACGTTCATCCCACTCAAGGTATTCCCTGGGGTAACAGGAATGATTCTGTGCAGGTAATATACTATATTTTTTCTTCTTTTTTTTAACTTGCTCAATTAGCTGATAGTCGTTATAGGTTTTATATACCAGTAGTGTGACTTTTACGTTACTAATCCTAGAGCTTTGGCAAGCCAACTGTGGTGAAAACTCCAGGATTGTTATTTTTCTCCTATTGAATAAAAACACCAACGGAAGGACGGGATAGACAGGAATGAGGGCGTTTGATCAGCGTAAAAGAGTGATATGGTTTAGGGGTAGCTGGACTCCTGGTGCAGTTGTTACTGAGAGGGGCAGATGATTATTTAATCTTTTCAAATTAATGTCTTAATCAGGACCAGCTGGAGACTGGTGGTTTAGTTCCGCGTAGCGAATAGGGGTAACTTCAAAAATATGTACAATTAAATTTAGGCCGACCCCACATTGGGCGTGCGCATTCCTCGAGCATGTGAACGACGCGAATGCCGCATGCGAGCCGCGACAGAGCGGCGTGAGTGTAGCGTTTAGCCAGCGTGCGGTGTGTGCGCAGCGTGAGCGCTGTTCTGTGAGAGAACGATCTGTATTTGATATTCATTTCTCTCTCTAAATAAGACTTAATTGTTACGCGTATGAACACAACACTATCCGCGTTTATCCTACTCGAGGAGCGCGCACGCCCAATGGGGGTCAGCCTTAGACCTGTGTCGACATAATCACTTTGTCATGCTTCTAACTGTTATACATGTAAGATAATACAGTTTATACAGAAACAAGTCCAATTAAACATATTTCCATTCTCATAGTACTTTACTAATCTTACTATTTTTTTTAAAATCAGGTTTACATCCCTTCCCGTACAGCAATTGTCTACGCACGAGTGAACTAAAACAGAACCAACCAAACTATTATGCTTCAATTTGTGGTTTAAAAGTACATCCGTGCCAGTGCTAATGAAAATTCCTATAAATTTGTTCAATATTGTTAACAGAATAGACTGAAACAAGTTGTATAATATTTTAAAAGGATGGATAGGTTACCTGGTTATGGTTTTGGTAAAATATGTAATATATATTTTTACTAATTGTTGAATAATAAATCCTTTATTATATATCTTTTTCATTCATGACGGCATTCCTATCAATAAATTATTCTTAGGTGTACAAGACAACGGTTTTAGCCTAGATAAGGTCACTTTGTAGCCAAATTCTTCAGCCAATCGTCCTCTATCAGAGTCTATGATGCCCATACATCTCGCACCTCTAACAGCTAAAGGATGCTCCTCATGAGTTTGATCAGCTGCATGTCCAATACACAAATATTGGTCTACTGGTAAACTACTGAATTTGGTACTTCTTGGGTACACCAACCTGTCAGTAGCATGTAAAGACCCATAACAACATGGACACAGTACAAACTTAGCATTGGCCTTCAAACATTTGTCTAAAACAAGATCAGTGGCTATTCCACAAGCATGTAAGCCAATGCCTATATCAAATTTTCCTATGAAGAAATCCAAATTGCATTGAAAGAAGTATACATTTTTTAAACCCATTTCATGTACCCTCAACCTAGCTCTTAATAAGGATTGTTCTTTGTTCTCTAGTAATATTACAGTGCAATTGGGCAACATATGAGCTAGTAAAATGCCTAGATGACCACTTCCACAGCAGAAATCAAGAATCAAGTCACCCTCTTTAGCTAAGCGCAAAACAGATAAAGCTAAATTTTCTAACTGCTGAGATTTTCGAATTACTCTTTCATCTGGCAAATGACCTGCATTTGGGTTAGCACCATCAGGAATATCACTCCAGTTAAAGCCAAAATCATACTCATTACTACAGATCACAAGCTCCATATCTTCTGTTATAGACCTTAAAGCATTCTCAATATCAACCTCTTTTGTAAACAGTCTCTTTTTCGGGTTATGTCTTTTTGGGTCACACTTATACAGGCTTACATCTTCAGTCGTAGGGATTGTTACATTATTCAAAGTCAATGATTTAAAGCTAAATTTACATATAGAAGATATTAATATTTCTATTTCATGTATTGACATGATATTTTTATACCATTTGTAAGTAAAAGGTAGTAACGGTTCACATTCAGATTCACCAAACGATTGAAATACTATGTGAAATGACGGCAACAGCACTATGTCTGCCAGAGTTAAAAACGGACCTTCTGCAAACTGGTGACTGATATCAAGATCTTCAATTTTAATCGAACAATCTATTTCAAGTTCCTTATTTTTGTTTGATTTCCACTTTCTTGTCTTTGGAACTCTGGTCTTATCAGAAACAGGGGCAGATTTTGGATTTAAATTTTTAGTGTCCTCACTTATAACAGTATTTTTACAATTTTTATTTTCTTTCTTCAGTTCTCTTGCCACTTTAAAAACATTATGAACTCTTACTGGCTTTTTCAAGTGATTTTCAAACCGCACTAAATTCTCAGGGACTTCTTTCAAAATGGTTGTTTGTAGAATTGCTTTCACTGTTTTAATAATATCTACTTCACAAAATTTTGTCCATATAGATACTTCGTTTGGTGCTTGGAGACAGCTTTTACGAAAACCAAGTAATCCTTCTTCATGTACATGTACACTTGGCGGTGTATTCATAAATTTTGAAATATGTCTAGCAACAGCACAAAGACCTGTTATAATCATATCATCGTACATAACTACTGGATATATACATGAGGCCACCTGCCACGGGATATCTTGAATATTTAAAAAATCTAAGTTCTCATCACTTATATACACGATAGATGTTTCTTCGTCAACATTATTTGACGAAATTAGTTTCAAACTTACAGATTCTGGTGAGCAATATTTATATACACAATACGTTATTAGAGATTCCAATGGTATTCTTACTTCCTTAACGTTTTGATTTTGTTGCTTGTTTGGATATGCTTCTATATATACAATGTTAACCATTTTGTATTTATTGAACGTAATAAAATTAACCAAGCAAAGCAACTACCTACATAAGGCACGTTCCTGACATTCCGTTAGAATGTCAATCTGTCAATGTGATTATGTGGACGTGCTTTTATTTTTCATCAACTTTTGGTTAATGGCTTTGATGCTCGTCAGCTCTCAACTCGCACTTGACACAAGCCAGCAATGTTGTCAGACACCAATATTCGACTTTTTCTAGATAAACACTAAAATAAGTAATCGCTGTTATAATAGTACTGTAAAACATTTAATGAAACCGCTTTCACACTCCGATTTTTTTATTAGTTCTTATCTTTGAATTTCTAGTGCCACAAGGGGTCTCTATAACACTTTGAAAAATACCTAATAAATACATAAAACTAAATGTTTTTTCTTATGGTGGAACTGCTCAATAAAAGAAGTCATTAATAACACCTATATCAAAAACCAGTTTCCATAACACAATTGAGTCAACGGTTGTTTTTCTCACATGAACAACGTAATGAAAAAATCCTTATTTCGTAAAATTTTGATAGGAAATATTGGACTTCCAACGAAAGCCTAACCAGGCTAGTGAAGCCTGAAAAGTGACTTAAAATAATTAGCTTTCTATACTTTTACATATATATACTAAACTATACTTTGTCATTTTAATTATACTAACTGAACTGGACACAAATGTAAATAGTGTATGTGAAGAAAAATCATATTCGTTTTTTGTTATTAGACATTAATTGTTTTCTAATATTTATTAAATTAGAGCATGTCCTTTTCTCTTCCATTGTGATTCATGTCTGTCTAATTTGTGGGATAATTTTCGGTATTCAGACCTAAGAGTTCCCATTCGACCAAACTTTGACTTTGAAAAAAAGACCTATGACTTTCGGCTACTTTTTTATTCTGTATAAAATCAGGCGGTACAATCTTAGTCGACAATCCTGGGAATGTTACGAAAATAATGAAACCAAATACAATGATTTTTTATTTGATCTAAAATTTTAACAACATTACGTACACTTCATTTAGGCGTATAATACGTGTGTACGTCATGTAATTTCGCCAGTCGATACTTATAGATGTCGTTACTTTCGGTATAATCCGCATAAAACATAAAGTGAGTTGTTTTAGTTTTTATTTTCCCGGACCGTATTTCACTATTTTCTGGAATCATTATAAAATGACTTTTGGAAATAAAATGTTGCCATTATTTTTTTTATACATTGAGTTGGTAGTTATTTTGTATGATAAAATTGATAAATGTAGACTTGTATTAAATTTTTTTAAAACTTTAAATTTTTTTTAGCACTTTAAACACATGATTCTAAGAAATCCTAACTTAGTGCCTGTATCATTTCATTATTGCCATTGTTTTGGTACTTTTCATCAGCATTAATGCAGCAACATTTGCAACAGCTGTCGTTATGGAGCAATTCTCAAAATAATGCTGAATGATTATTGTAGTGTTGTCCCATAAATTGACTTAATTTTTTTAAATGGTAGAAAAATATTATGTTCAAGATAATAATTAAATAAATAAAATCACTGAATTACTGTTTACATTCCTGCTTTCATTCTTATGACAAATTGATAATTTATGAAAAAAACAAAAAAAGATAAACTATTGAGTGTGCAAATGTATGGAGAGTGATGTGTCCCATTTAGCAGTGTATGAACTTTCCATAAGCTTTATTTTTAAATATTATGGGCTGGCATAAATTTTTTTGGTGCTATTTTACGCTGTTACTATCAATTTATCCCTCGAATATACAATTTTGCGAAAAACAATGCATATTTTAAAAATAAATATATTTTATAACATGTCTTCAAAAGTTTCCTTATGCCGTTTCTTATTTTGTTACGTGGTTTATGGAAAATATTTAAAAAACAAGTTAGTAGATTATGGTTTTCTGTGCACTCTTAACGTTGAGAAGAACGTAAAGCTAAAAGTAGCATTGCCACTTGTCAAATTCATTTGAAAATATCGTTTCATTGTGTGGTGCTCGCCGGATTCACAATTTTCTTCTTGTTTTGTAACTGTATTAACAAGGGTAAGTTTATAATTTTTAATATTTATAGTATTAAGAATAGATAATTGTTTAATAAATTTTTGATATCTTATTACATACAGTCGATTTTATCAGATTTTATTGTAGAAATACATGAAATGAAACTTATGGTCTATGTTCGTTACTTCCTCTTTGGTTACTTTTGCGTGGTTATGTATAAGAAGAATATGAAGTAACAAAATAGGAATACGTAAGGCAGAGTCTACATTGCATTTTTACCCAACTATGGCACAATATAAGGGAGGGAATTATTTTTTACTTTATGTCTATAAGTATGTAGTTCTTTTGGTAACCGACTTCAAAAAAGGAGGTTCTCAGTTTGACCTGTATGTTTGTACGTATGTACGTATATATGGTTGTCCGCGATTTTCTCAAAAACTACTGATTCTATTTGGGTTGGGTTTTCACCATTGGTTTCGTGTGTTTAAGTGGGTCGTAGATGGCTTAGATTAACAATTACACCCAGTAAGTAGGTGGCACTTCAATCGGGTTCTAGGGTTATATTCTATTTTACCGATTTTTTGTTGTGGTTTTGAGTGTGGTTTCCTGAATTCCCCTGATAAAAAAACCCTGAGTTTCTTCTCAGCTGAGCTGTTTTTGAGGTCACAATAGATTTCAGTTTAAGTTGACGTGATTGCCTAGGAATCTTCATGATATTAAAGAAAGTTTTGAATTTTAATGGTTGAGATTGTACCCGGCGCTGCCAATCGGGTGCACAAGACAACGTCTGTCGAGACAGAAGCTGTCTATTCATAAATAATTCAGTAGTTCCTTTCAATAAATATTCAAATTATTTTACTAAATGTTGTTAATTAATATTTTTCTACACATTCTATTTATACTTATTTTTTTTCTTTTAAATCACATTTCTAATTTCTGTGCATCTACCATTTTTTTTTTTAAAACTCTGCATCGCCCTAAGGTCGGCTGGTAGAAAATGCCTACGGCATTAAGTCCGCCTGTGTCACATTTGTGCATAAAGTATAAATAAAATAAAAAAATAAAAAAAATACACATGGCGGAATGAAGCAGGTATATGCGTTTAGGATGAGATTTTGTTTGTTTATTTTTTTGACTTAAACGTAGTTAGGTATTTACTAAAAACCATCATTATTAGCTAGTTTTAAATGTAAAAGTAATTGTTTGCAGTTAATTCAAGAATGCCATTAACAAACGCAGAAAAGCAGAGACGCTATAGAGAGCGCCTTAAACAAGATCCAGAAAAATTTGATAACTACAGAAAAAAAAATTTAGAGGGAAAAAGGAGAATGAAGAAGAAGAAGAATGAAGAGTTTATTGGATAATTATATGTTTGGTGCCCTAATTGTGATTTTTCTTATATGATCATTACACTCCAGACGAGCGTGAGATTTGCAATGCGTAATTTTTATAATAATTTCATAAATATTACTAAATAATACTTAAGTTTATTTGATATACCATTTGTGATTTAGACATACTTACCTTTAAGGATTTTTGATTTATTTACTTTAGAATAAGTATAATTATATTTTTTAATAGTACTACTGTACTAATGAATACTTTCAACGACAGTTCTTTTAAAATATTGTACTCGAACCAAATTCGTAATTTCTAAGATAGCTAATTAACATCATTCTCAATCTTAAGTTCGAATTATGTTAAATAAGAACATTGTTTTTGAAGTGTAGTGTATACTCAGCCTTATAAGTTCTTGTTTTGTTACCAAAGTTCCTATTTGTTACTGTCCTAATTGAGATGACTGATTTTTCTCTTAATAATTTAAAATTTAAACAGTTTTTTATAATAGTTGAAGAATGTTATAGCCTAGATTGCTTGATTTAGTTTGTAATTTTAATTAAAAAATGACTGAGATTCTGCCTGTGAACTTAATAATTTAAAATGTTTTCCAAGCAGGTGTTCCAAAGGTAACGAAATGGACAAAATGTTGTCTATTTCTTCTAAAGTATTGATCTTATAATTAAAGTTTTCATGTTCTCTGTCTGTGTTTTCATTTAAAGTATTTAAAATTTATTAAAAAGATTTGCAATCTTTTACGTGTTTTTCATTTTTTAACGAATTTTATTCGGTAACGTAATAAGACATTTTTAGACCATTGCCTTCAAAACTTAATTTTTTTTTCAAGAAATATTAAATAAATAATGGTAGTTTTATAAAAATAATAAAATTTGATTATATCTTTATTAATTGGAAAACATAACAAGTAGGGGTACTGTCATTTTTTTTTTTAAAGTCAAAATAAAAATTATTCAGCATTATTTTGAGAATTGCTCTATGAATGTTGTCCGTCAACATGACATTCATACCGGCATTTTTTTGGTGGTTGAATGTTTACTTGCTTGGAACTAATAACAATTATTCTCTGATATCTTCATTAATGCGTGAGTTGAGCCTAGGTTCTTCTGATCTTTGTTATCCTTGTGTGTTGTTTTCGAGTAGTATTGAGGTAGAGACACTTATTTTTAACGCTTTATTTTTGTGTTGCAATGTCTGTTAAACGTTGTTGTCTTGAAAAAAAGAAAATAAACGTTTTTTTTTATACATTGTTTTATTTTACAAAGTTCTAATTGCATAGGTATATTTGTACATAATATAAACAATACTGTATACAATAAGTATTACCTATATTAAAACACTTGACCGTCACTGGAAGCTTTATTATGAGAAGGCATTTCCGTTTCCGTCATAGTTCTACCAGTTTACCCTCTTTTTAGTACCTTGTACATCCGGTCCAGTAGCGACACCTGGCGGTCGTGCGCTTTTAGTTGATGTAAAACGTTTGGGGGCGCCATTTTTATCATTGGCGTTTCGTTTCCCGTCGAAGCAAACACATACGCAGCTGCTCTGTGACTGCTACTGTTGCACTTAATATATTACAGTAATATAAAGTGATATTATAGTATTGGCAATAAAGCAAAGAGTGAATTGTGT